TGTTTTCTAGTGCCACTAGAGCAGGTCTCCAGGCATGCTGTGGTTTGCACGGATGCCTCAACCACTGGCTGGGGGGCCACTTACAATGGGCTTGCAGTGTTAGGGGTTTGGACGGGGCTCCAACTGCACTGGCACGTCAACTGCCTCGAGTTGCTGGCAGTGCACCTTGCCCTGAGCCGTCTCAAAGGGCGCTTACGAGGCAAGCATGTACTAGTCCACACGGACAACACAGCGACCGTTGCGTACATCAACCGACAAGGTGGTCTGCGCTCCGGTCGCATGTCGCAACTCGCCCACCACCTCCTCCTCTGGAGTCAGAAGCATCTAAGGCCGCTTCGTGCTGTTCATATTCCTGGGCTGCTCAACTGGGCAGCCGACGAGCTGTCTCGAGCTGCGCTCCCGGGAGAATGGCAACTCCATCTCCAGACGGTCCAGCTGGTTGGAGATGTTTCGGAGCCGCTCAGGTAGACCTGTTTGCCTCTCCAGAAACCTCTCACTGCCAGTTGTTCTTCTCCCTGGCCGAGGGAATACTCAGCATGGATGCACTGGCCCACAGCCGGCCGCGGGGCCTTCACAAGTATGCGTTTCCCCCAGTGAGCCTTCTTGCACAGTTGCTGTGCAAGGTCAGGGAGGACGAGGAGCAAGTCCGGTTGGTGGCCCTATTGGCCTACTCAGACCTGGTTCCCGGAACTAATGCTCCTCGCGACAGCCCCTCCTTGGCCGATTCCTCTGAGGAAGGATCTACTGACTCAGAGACGGGGCCCCTTTGGCACCTGCGTCCAGACCTCTGGAAACTTCATGTCTGGTCCCTGGACGGGATGCGGAGGTTCTAAGTGACCTACCTCAAGAGGTAGTTGACACCATCACTTCAGCGAGGGCACCGTCTACGAGACACGCCTACGCTTTGAAGTGGAACTTGCAGATGGTCGAGCTGAAATTTATTTAGATGAAGACTTTGCTCCTGCTGGCATTGGCCTCCATCAAGAGGGTAGGGGACCTGCATGCATTTTTAGGTCAACGATTCGTGCCTAGAGTTCAGGCCGGCTGACTCTCAGGTAACCCTGAGGCTCCGGCCCGGCTATGTGCCCAAGGTTCCCGCTACCCCCTTCAGGGATCAGGTGGTGAACCTCCAAGCGCTGCCCTCGGAGGAGGCAGACCCAGCCCTAGTTTTGCTCTGTCCCGTCCGAGCCTTAAGGTGCTACGTTGACCGGACGCAAAGCTTCAGGACCTCAGACCAGCTCTTTGTCTGTCACGGAGGCCGGCAGAAGGGGAATGCCGTCTCTAAGCAGAGGATGGCCCACTGGATCGTGGATGCCATCACCCTGGCTTATCGGGCACAGGGTGTGCCCTGCCCGTTCAGGTTGTGAGCTCACTCAACTAGAAGTGTTGCATCCTCCTGGGCGCTGGCTCGTGGCGCCTCGCTGGCAGATATCTGTAGAGCTGCAGGCTGGACGACTCCTAACACGTTCGCTAGATTCTATAGCCTTCGTGTGGAACCGGTATCCTCCTGTGTTCTCAGCGAGATCCCAATTTCGTCGGTCATCCGATGTGACGTCTCCGTTCCCTCCTTTTTAGGAGGGTTACCATACGTAACTGAGACGTTCGCTGCCAGGAAAGTCTCAAAAATACACACACAAATCCAAGGCAATTCACATTCACATCCCATGATAAACTCTTGAATTTTAAACATTCAACAATTTTGTACACAGTTGTACATCTGTGAATTGTGTTTTGCATTTGTGAAACTTATTTTATGACTATATATTCTTAGTTTGTGCACGTTAATTGGTTTTTGTGAATATAAATTTTTTTTTTCGTGCATGTGAATTATTTCTCATGCATGTGAATTGGGTTATGCATGTGAGCATCGCGTCTTTTGCTTGAATTATTATTGAGATCATTCTGGCTCCATAGATCGGACCATTGGTGGTGCTATAACAGTTAAAAAGGCTTCAAAAACACAAGATTTATATGGTAAATTCAATTCAATTCATTTAATTAAATTCAAGTTTATTTGTATAGTGCTTTTCAAGATACAAATCATTGCAAAGCAACTTTACACCAATTAAGTTTCTACGATATTTAGTGGTAGCTTATCAGTGGTGACTGTCAGTTAATGTACATATGGCAGAAATGTACGGAAAAATCAATTAAAGACGTAATCAGACAGACGATGAACACTACTAACAGCAATTATTATATGATGCAATCAAACTTTTTGGTAGTGGAGTATGTTGTTTCATGGTTGGCATCATATGAGGTCCTCTGAGGGGTTGGCATCATCTCTTCTCAGGTGTTCTGTATCCAGACCGAAGCTTGTGTAAATCCTAGTTAACAGAAACAGAGAAACAAATAGAGACATAAGTAGTGTAACTGCTGATTCAACCAAGCAAAATTTATTTGTTTAACCCAAGCTAAAGAATAATAATGTGCATTTGATCAGATATAACTGTAGTACAAGATTATGAGATGCATTATTTGAATGCTTGGCCAAAGAGATGTGTCTTTAATCTAGATTTAAACAGAGAGAGAGTGTGACTGAACCCCGAACGTTATCAGGAAAGCTATTCCAGAGTTTGGGAGCCAAATGCGAAAAAGCTCTACCTCCTTTAGTGGACTTTGCTATCCTAGGTACTACCAAAAGTGGTGAGCGTGATGGATTGTAGTGTAGGAAACTTTTTCCTCGTCGAAGCAGAAACCAGGAGACCTTGGGATATCTTTCATACAGAAGTCACTCTTTATTGAGGACTCGCTGTGCGTCGCTGCAGTCATCCAAGTCTGACTATAGCTCAGCACAGTAGAGTTTAT